AAGTATTTAAGTAAATCGATCTTTTCCGAAAAAATTGCGAGGTAAAAACCTTTGTTTCCTAGACTAAACGAAGTGGCGCTGGGCAGGTCATTTAGCAATACACAGAACAACAAAAGTAACTCCGCTAGATTGCAGCAACTACAAAACGGTAACGCTAATATCCCATGCAAGCAAGGTTCTACTTCATGTAGTACATGAATGACTAAAAGCTTTTCTATTGCCTCAGATATTAGAAGACCAAGCAGGATTTGTCCCAGAAAAAGGCTTAAGAGAACACATCCTTAATATCAGACAGCTAATCGAAAAAACTGGCGAATTTAATACTACTACGTTTATGTGCTTTGTGGATTACACAAATGCCTTCGATAAAGTCAAATGGCAGCAGCTATGGTCCATACTAGCGGAAATGGGAACACCCCACCACTTAATTCAACTAATTAGAAGTCTATATGAAAATAATAAGTGCACAGTAAAAATAAACAACACCCATTCCGATCATTTCAGAACAGAGGAACAGAGGCAGGTATAAGACAGGGATGCATAATCTCGCCAACTACTTAAGATATGCTGATGACACTTTAGTGATTCTGATCTCTGTCTGGATTGGTATGGGGTGAATTGAGTAGCTCCATAACCGATGCAGGTGGTCCCAAGCCCGCATAAAAGAGGAGGGATAGAGAAGTAACACCTCTAAAAAAAACCAGGGTTCAGCCGACCCGGCTGATAGCACCCTGCGAGGATCCCTGCCTGGGTACAGGTGAAATCCGGTCAACGGTCTCGAGAGCAGAGGTTGGCTGGAAAAGTCAGAATGGTCGAGAGGGCGGAAGAACCAACAGCGTCTGATCCACAATGGGCGGCTAAAGAAAAGGTTCTCCAAACGGGGGTTGTGGCGTTAGGAGTTAGCAACCTAACAGACAGAGAAACGTAAGGGTAAGAAGAACGAAAATCGCAAGATGAAAAAGCCAAATACGGAAACACATTCCCGGGGGGGGGGCAATGTTGCGAAGAGTTTGGAAAACCCAGTCTTATCAAAGCTCAACCAAAAATCAAAACAAAGAAAAGATAGAACATTCATATGTGCAACGTTGAATATACAAGGATGGTACAAAAAGGCGACGAAAGTTATCAAGGAGTTTAGAGAAAGCAATATCGACATACTAGTAACAACAGAAACCAAAAAGAAAGGAAATGGAACAGAAACAATAGAAGACCATATATACTGGAGCGGAGTTAATAAAAAATGTAGAGCAAAGGCAGGAGTGCGAATACAAATCAAAAATAAGGAATGGACGGAGGCATATATGACATCTATCTTTAAGAAAGGGCATAGAAAACGATGCAAAAACTACAAAGGAATAAGGGTAATATCATCAATAGAAAGATTATATGGAAAGATACTGCGAGAAAAGATAAAGCAAGCGAAAAACGGCAAAATCGGGGATGATCAGGCAGGCTTCACGGCAGGAAGATCAAGCATAGACCACATATACACACTGGAACAACTATTGTAAAAGAAAAAAGCAAAAAATAGAAATAAACATTTGGAATTTGTAGACCTGAGAAAGGCGTATGACTTCATTACAACAGAAGGGCTCCTACAGGGTTGTTCCATATCTCCCACCCTATTCAAAATATACTTAGAGAAAGCCTTGACTACATGGAAAAGAAAATGCGAAGGCATAGGGGTACCGGTACGGAACGAATACCTATATACGTTCAGCTTTACAGACGATCAAGTAGTGATTGCACAAGACCAAGACGACCTTAGCTACACGATGAAGAAACTACAAGAATATACCAAGGCTGGCCTAGATGTTAACCTCGCGAAAACAGAGTACCTATCTACAAGTAAAGAAGACATAGAAGATCTACAGATTGATGACAACGTAACAATAAAAGGAAATATTAAATTCAAATACTTGGGGTTTATAATCACGAAAAAGGTACCAACAGAGGAAAAAATTACACAAAGATCAGGATAAACAAGAACAGCAATCCGACACCTTAACTCAGTATGGTGGGATAGACACCTAAATATAAAGACAAAAACACATATTTATAAAACATAAAATTGGATTATAAATAAGAAAAACAGCAGTAAAATAGTAGCAACAGAGATGAAGTGCCTGCAAGGATGCTGCAGAGTAACAAGAATGGATAGGAGAAATAATGACGAAATAAAGCAAAGAACATCAATAGAAACAGACATACTAACATATATAGAACAAAAAAGACTAAAATGGTATGGACATGTAAAAAGAACTAGCGACAGCAGATGGATAAAGCAAATAACTGAATGGCGCCTCATAGGAAGGAGGAAAAGAGGACGACTCCAGTTCGAGGGAAGGCAGTGAATATTGTAGAATCCCTATATATATATATATATATATATATATATATATATATATATATATATATATATATACATATATTATATATATATTATATATATATATTAAATATATATATATATATATATATATATATATATATATATATACATATATATACTTTAATAATCATAAGAAAACCAAAATAATTGGACTAAAGGAAAATATTAGTAAGACAAAGATCATGATAGTAGACAGAGCTCGGAATAATCTTCAGCGCATTAAATAAATTGGGGGCTTTGAAATAGTAAATAGTTTGATATACCTAGGGTCCCTAATAACAAATGACCGATAATGTGACACAGAGATACGTAGAAGGATGACTATTGCTAGAACAGCTAAGATGAAACTGGTAACAATTTGGAAAAATTCTAGCATAACAATACAAACAAAACTAAGGCTCGTAAGGACACTTCGTCATTTTTCTCGTAGCTACGTATGCATCCCATACGTGGACCTTAAAGAAAGTAGATAAAAATAAACTAGACGCTTTTGAAATGCGGGTATACCGCCGCATGTTAAGAATATCCTGTATTGATTATCGCACTAATGTATAGATATTAGAACAACTTTAAGTAAAGGATAGATTGCTTAAACAAATACAACAAAGATATTTGCAGTATTTTGGACACATTGCTAAAATAACAGGTACGATGGAAAAACTGGTAGTCGAGGGTAGACTTGAAGGAAAGAGACCTAGGGAAAGATCTCCAAGTCGTTGGGTAGATCAAACAAAAATATTGATTATTCAAGGGGGACATGAAACCGAAAACCTAGCCCAGGACAGGGAAGGATGGAGGGAAATCGTGAAAAAACTGTAGGCCTGATTGTGTCACCGCATCCCAAAAGGGATTAGAACTGAGGAGGAGAACAAAGGTGGACTAAAATCACAGAATAGAGATATTAACAACAAAGAAAACTGGCGCTCTAAAAAGATGTGTATTGACGACCTAAGAAAAGTATTGGAATAGTGGATACAAATCGCGCAGGATAGAAATTAATGGAAGGAAATAAAAGAGGTAAAAATTGGTAGATACAGTCTAAACAAGAAGAACAAGAGATACTTGAAATAAAACAATATTGCTGAAAAGATAATTAGTATCGATAGAAACTTTAAAATTTACGCATGTAATATATGCAAGAGAGGGAAACAATAATAGAATCATAGTTTCTATTATAGAGTTGAAACGGTTAAGAGGTAAGAATATCAAAATGGATCTCCATAAGAAAACATTACCTTTAAAAATAAAAAAAGGCAACAAAACTGGTAAGGACATATCTGGAGAACAGAATTGAGTACATAGTATAATAAAGTAAGTCATAGTATTTAAAACATATGTTCAAAAAACAGGGAAACTAAAAAAAATAGAATCATCAAATTATAGATATAGGAAGAAAAAAAGAAAATAGATAGAAAGAGATAAAAGAACAAAACATTTAAAAAAGTGGTTAAAAAAAAATAAAATAAATAAAAGCAGTTCTTCCGATACCCCTGAAGAGTATTAGGAGCTTGGAAATACAAGAAGAGAAATCTAGTAAAAAAAATCATTCCATAGAGTGACATGGAACAACACTATAACCAAAGAAAACCAAAAGGGATTTTTCAGAATACAGTGCTTAATATTAACACCGTACATGATGCGTAAGTATGGCTAATGACAACAACAAAATATTTATAAGAAGATGTCTACAAAACACTAGAGAGTTTACATGGAAACAGAGAAATATGCAACATAATGGAATTAGAATGCATAATTACAAAAAAGTTGGAAAACAGAGCCCTGCAGTGTCACGAGCATTTACAACGAAGCCCGAAGCACATATCACCGAAAAGAATATTGGATTGAGACCCACCAAGAAGTAGACGGAGAGTAAGACATGTTAAAATATGGAGAACGGACATAAGAAATGCTACAATAGATAGAGACCTGAAAGAAGGTGACTGGGAAAATAGAATGCTGCGGAGAACGAAACCGGGGAACTCATGGGAACGAAAGTAAAGAAGAGAAATAAGAAGAAGCAGTGTTTGAGATATAGAGTAGAAATATCTGTAATATAATAACATGATACGATTTTCTATAAAGCTGTTAAAAGTAAGGTAAACAATTTCTGCATACCTACCAAATCATCAAGAATTGGATCCAAATTTAATAAAAAATCGTGGCTTTATCTAGTTAAATATACAGCTCAATTATTGGAAATACAACTGTAAATGGCAGTGTAATAAAGATTTTGACATATTCACTTCCACGAAATACATTGAACACTCTAATAGAAAAAAAGAGAGTACTCTAATAGAAGAATGACGATAAAGTAGGACTGTGCCTACTATTTTCATATTCAGTATAACTCTTTCCTACACTAGCATATAGTCTGTTGACATTTTTAATCTGTGTTAATTAAAAAAATATATATTAAACATATTTACAACGGAATATGGATTGCGTATACGAAATGCAATAATATGGATTGTTTTAATGGGATTTCTTCAAAAACGGAGTCGTTGATCTTTTAACACTCATGGCATTCTTAATTTAAATAAAGCCACACCGCTCTTTGCATTATTGTCCCAAAAAGGACCCCGCCTAGATTTGATAAAGCGTCACTCACCTGTTGCTAGGGGTGCCACTATCACTATCTATCAAACAACAAACTAAAATAGTCACCATCAGACATGTCAGGTGTTTTACCGTCAAAAGTCTCATCATTGGTGCTACATGTCGAACTTCACTTGACTGAAGTATCAACAAATCTTAAATCTTTAAATGCCATTTATTACTCAAAACAAATATGCTCCGTTCTGCTGCGAAGGTGTGGCCAACAAAAAAAGCACAGTAAATTTTCAGATAAAAATTTATGGTGAAATGCAGTTTCAGTCACGTCGTCATACCAAAATATTGTAGTACTTACTGCATTATTAATAAGAAATATAAAATAATAAATAAGACAATGAATATACAAGATCAATAAACGGTATCCCACAAAAACAAGTTTAAAATCAATAAAAAAATTATTTCACAAGCGCCAAAGCGATTTTTTTAGATATTAAATAGTATTTATTTAATCACATACATATGTTGTACCTACTACACTGTTAAAATCTAGAAAATGTACAATAGAATCACGATAGAGAATAGAACCCGGGGTAGGAAGATTTTTTATTTTTGATATTTAAGAATATGGTGAATGTACCTACTTCTTCTATATTTTTCATAACTGTTTTCTAGACTAGTAGATGGGCTCCTGACATTTTAAAACTTTTTTTATCAAAAAAATATATATAGACGTTTAAAAATCACTACATATTTTATCCGTACTTTTTATCTAGAGAAAGTTTAGACCAGTTTTAGAATTCATCTAGAGAAAGTCATAATTGGACCTATAATATCTACTTCGTTTAGTGTTCCTCTTTTCTCGCTACTTATTTCTTAATTCTGAGGTATTATCGTTCTTCTTTTAATCATATTTTTGCTTTTAAATTATACTCTTTAACTTTAGATTTCAAAAGGAATCGAAAGAGAGTACGCATTCGCGTTATCTTACCTTTATCTTCACTACATATATTTCTAAACTGCCTGGGCACTCTAGATATTATATTCACTGTATTTTAGCACTAATAAATATAGTACTTCAACATTTTATCTTTCTTTCTAAATAATTCGCGCGTCCTGAAAACCCTAACACTAGACCTAAGCCCGAAGGTTACATGAACTTTACTTTGAATAATAAAATGTTGATGAATATTTCTCCCTTTTCATGAATAGTCTCAATACAGTCCTGAAAAATAACAGGGGATTATATATATATATATATATATATATATATATATATATATATATATATATATATAATATATATATATATATATATATATATATATATATATATATATATATATAAACTGTTTTGGATGGGTTGGAGTCAATAAAAGGGGCTATTTGTTGACTTTTTTTTACTCGAGCTTTCAATTGTGATTACAATTATTATCAAGAGCTTCTGAAAAATAGAAAATATCTTACAAAGTTGAACTAGAAATAAAAAATTTTTTGTTAACTCACCAAATAAAATTAGTTTTTTATATAAAACTGCTGCTTATATAAAAACTGTTTCGATGGATTCAAAGGTTTTCTAGTCGTCCTTTATCGGGATAGAGAAGAAGGATAATAATAAACGAGAATAGTATATTACAAAAAATTAAGTATTCTTTATTTTATATGAAAAAGAATAAAACAATTATCAAATTCTGCCGTTATCTTATCAATCAGCATACAAGAAATTAAATGAATTTTTTATAATAATAAGATTTTAAATCTACATACATTTATATTACGTGAAAACCAATGTTACTTAAACTTTCCTTTACTTGAAACAAAAAAACAACAAAACTTCCAACTTTCCAACATTAGTCTAACAAAACTCAGTATTTTAAATTTAAATGACAATGATCATGATGTCAACACAGATCCTTCACTGATACTAATTTCAATTGTACAAAACACTTACAGCTTTTTTCCTTATTGAATTATATGTTGGAACATACACAGAAAAGTCCAGTCTCCCCAAAGATGTGATCTCTCCTCTTTGGCAACTCGGCTCCTTCCTAACGTCTCTGCAAACCTCCTGCAGACTACCCAAAAACACCTGATTCACTTCTCCAAAAACTTAGCTACTTATTGACACAATGACTTCCTTTTGCCAACTTGATGCCGTAAAACTACTTTCACATATACTTTACAAAATGCCCACGGTAGATACACGGACCTCTTCTAATCTACTTGCTATCTCCTTCTGCAAAACTATTCACTTCTTTTCACAATGCCGGTATCCAAACTCACGAACCACACCCCATCTTTAAACAAACGACTGTTTCCTTCGATGGCCAAATTACAACTGCCTCGCTCCCGGTCTCCTAATCAGGTTAACCCCATTACCATTCAAAAACGACTATCCAATCAAAAAGCTCAAATCTTGTTTACTACTGTTAATGTTTATTTTAAAAATTCTGTGTATTATTTGTTAAAACCAAATTACTGTTTCAGAGAAAGAATAAATAAAATTGACTTTTTTTTGTCATCAGTCTGTTAATACACAAACTATACCTGTTTCCAAAGATTAGAATATAATCGTTTAATACACAAACAACGACAAGATTACTTACATGTAAAATGTCTTCTAATTCTACACAAAAGGGGTTTTTCGATAATTTTGTTGGACACGGACAAAGTCGTTTGCCAAACAATGATTAGGTCATCTCTGATTGTTTGTTTGATTCCCATTATTTCTCTAATGCGTTAGTTGGTAATCTTTTCTCTTCTAGATCTACCTGCGGCTCTTCTCCAAAAATCAATTTCCGTCGCTTTCAGCATTGTCAGTGTTCTCTATTTCAGTGGCCATACCTCACAGCTGTATAAAGTGATACTTTTTACTATAGTCTCGTATATCCTCTTTTTATTTTCTTTGCTGATGGATCGGTCCCATAAAATTCTATTTAATATTGTGATGGCTTTTCTCCCTGACGTATTTCTCTCTCTTACGTCTTTGTCTAATGTTCCATCTTGTGAAATAGTGATGTCTAGATGTTTGTAGTGACAGCAGTGTTTTATTGTAGTGTTATCGTCTAATATCTTTTTAATCTACTCCAATGCACAGGTATTCGGTTTTCTTTTTTATTTACTTCTAGACTCCATATATCATACTCTTCAATGAATTTTCGTGCCATATTTTAAATCGTCATAATCTTGAGCTATTATTACTTGATTGTCTGCAAAGTTAAGCGTATATACCATAGTGTTGGTATTGGTAAGTGGTATCCCCATTGTACTGCATTCTTGTTTCCATCTTTTTAAAGCACTTTTGAGGTATATTTTAAATAAAGTGGAAGACAGACAACATCCTTACTTTTAATGTTATACATCCTTTGATGTGATAATCCTTTTGATTGACGGCTTTTATTAATTCTATATTAATAATCCATATGAATCTCTTGATGCCGTGCCATTCTTTTTTTATTATCTGGGTTAAGGAGAAAGTGTGGTCAATAGTGGATTGACCCGTACGAAATCCTGCCTGTTCTTCTGCTTCATAATCTAAGTATTCTCTCTCAATTCAATTCTTTAAAACCTTTCCATATATTCGACTTTTAGATCGGCTTTCAGCTATTTCTCGATAATTTTCACAATTATTTTTATTACCCTTTTTATGTATAGTACTGAGGTATGATATCTTCCACTCCGTAGGGATTTCGCTTGTGTTTACGCATCCTTGAAATAGTTGTCGAAGACATTCGTACAATTTTTTCGTTCCGTACTTAAACGATTCTCCGAGTATATCAATGCTTAGAATGAAACAAGTTCAAGCCAATCTAACTTAACGACAGTGAACAAGACCAAGTGCAATTTACCGCAGGAACAATGCTCCTGTGATCCTGGAACGAACTGCATTTCACTACGATCCGAAAATTATTTATGGTGCTGATAGATCTGTGATGATTAGAAAAATGACAATCATTTGTGAATATTGTAATATGTTAACATATAGTGGTGAATTTACTGAAATATGTTGTGCTGGTGGAAAGATAAAATTTCTACAATTGGTCTCACCACCTGATCCATTTCGTTTATTAGTTTATAGGATGGAATATAACTCGTAATGCTTCTTGGACAGCATTCAAAACTATAAAAATTTTTTCAGATGACGTCATTTAGCACAACGTATATTGTACAGGACAATTTCATACCAACTTTCAAGCTATAATACCATAATTGCTTTTAGATAAATTTTAACTTGGTTTAGTAATAAATTTGTTGTATCAATAATTTAACAAAAAATATTAAACAATTCAGAGACAAGAACCAATATATCACCTACTGGGATCGTTGTTACCACTATCAGATGCAAGCCATTACTTATGGGCAATATAGATGCAGAAGTTAATAGGCGTTTTGCTCACAATCCAACAGTAAAATAAACCATAGTCCAAAAACTACAAACGTTTCTTTATCAGAGCAATGGTTTATGCAAACTGTTTAAAATAGCAATGTATCTGATGGAATTTAATTCCTTGATTCCCCGAAAGCGACGAGAAAAACATAGCTAATTTCGTTCAAGTAGCACTAGTCTTGGCTTCATCTGGAATAGCTGTTGCTTTGGTAGATGGCGGGCGAACTACATATTCTTGAAATGACCATTTACCATGTAAATCAATGAAACACTAGCTTGAAACATTGCCAAAAATTGCTTGATGACAAAGATTTTACAGGTATGCGAATTAATCGTTTGGAACGAAAATACAATGGCCCACAAGAGGTCATTGGAGGCATTGGACAGAACTTTAAAAGATAAAGCAAACATAAGAACCAAAACACTTCTGGTGGAGGCATGATTCTATTATCAGGTGATATTCAACAGATTCTTTCAAATATTTCCCAATCAACTGCGTGTATGAACTTAACACTTGTCTTAAATCATCTTATTTTTAGCGATACGTAAAGACGCTTCAATTGACAACTAACATGCGAGTATGTTTGCAATAAGATCTAACTGCAATTTTATTTTAGAAGCAGTTATTAGACATTGAAAATTGTCGAAAAAGTTGATATTGAGAGCTCGATCAGATTCATCATATTACTCAAAGACTCCTGTTACTTTACAAACTCGAAAAAGAAGCTTATTCAGCCTGTTTTTTCGATACAACGCAAGAGTTCTATAAACACAATTGACTTAGTGAACGAGCTATAT